CAGGCTGCATCTTGTTTCAGATTTTGGTTCATGGCTATTAGAAAAACCTAATCACACATGCCTCAGAGCATTTCAATAAGTGGATAATTTCCTTCTGAGCCAAAATGAAACTTCCAATTTCCTGTGGGATGTATAAAAGGGCTGGTGGAAAGTATTTTATGAGCAAATGTCAGCAATATAACAAGGCACGCCACAGAACAGTAGTTTCATCCATTGCAGGAAAGCTTTTAGACAGTCTGTCACCACACAAGACTACATTACATATCTAGCATCTCCTGATTTGAAAAAGTAATTATTCTGTGCACAGCTGATATAATAACAAACATATGCGATGCAAAATGGATCATTTGTGTGGTTATGTAAGAAAGTTAAACTGCTCTCCAAATGGTTGTATAAGTGCTGAGTACATTTTTAGGCTTTGAAACAAAGAATGGCTTTTTGATCAAACAGTGGCTTTGTCTTATTTCCATTACTGTTTGCTGTTTGGTATCCTGACAATTCATGTCTGCTCACCAGACTCTGCCTCTGGCTGTTACAAGTTTTATTGCCAATGCACTTATCATCAGTGCAAACTCACACACAATATAATCTACCCAACAACTGCAAACTCAGGAGCTAAGGCAATCACTTACTGATCAAGTGAAAAAAAATATTCTTCAGCTTTATAATTTCTGAACAAATTAGGCTTAGATCTCTAAACCAATTACTAGAATCCAGTAATACAAAGGTTTCTAAACTAACAGCAACAGAGTCTGACAAATTCAGTTGGCTAGGCATTACCCTTCCTGTCCTGGGAAAAAAAAGTGATTTGGGAAAGTCTATATAGGAAGCCCCGTTCCAATTTTTAGGGGTAACATGAGGCAAAATGTAATGATTCTGGCTCAAAGGTGAGATAATTGGGGCTTTTTTTAGTAGCTAATCTGCTCAGAGACAAAAAGTTTCTTTTCAAGCTAATGTCTAAGTGTTGAAAATCTGTTTTTTCTGCCACGAGAGGTCTCTTCTTTCAGCCTTCAGAAGGGACTTGATACATTAACATCACTTAATGGCTGGCATACATCCTGGGAAAGTCCGCTTTGCTTTGAAGGCAAGTGATTTTCTTTAAGGTTGGGAGATCGCAACTATATTTCATAACCAATTAATATTGCATAGTGCTAAAGGCATTATTTCATAACCATCATGTGTATAGTTGAACTCGTATGGCTTAAAAAAAAGCATCTAAGACTTTTATTTAAGCAGATCTGTGACTGTTATGCCCACAGTTTTAATGAATCATGACAAAATGCACAATGTTATTTTTATTTCATTTTACAGGATAGTCTTTTTCAAGCAACTAATACATTTAGCAGTTGTTTAGTTTATATTTTCCCTTAAGTGTTTACACCAAAGTTTTAAATAAAGGCTATAGTCAAGAAGCTATGCTACCACTGCCATAGTTGGAATATTTGTTGATTTTATGTTTTTAATAAGAGCATTTGTACCGTGCTAAACTTTATGGTTTACATTTTTGTCTAAACACTGATAAATACTGTGATATCCTATATGGTATACTCAAGCTGATCATAATTTGCGCTTCGCTCACAGGCAGGTGCCTTTTCGTCACAAAAAAGAAACAACGCCAACTTGAAAATGACTGAACCTCAGGATATTCAACATACTGGTAACCCAATTCTTCCCGTTTGGTGGCAGATAGTCTTTTTTTCATGTCCATTATCTGTTTATCTTAGTATAAAGCAGTTTGTCATGGAAGGCATGATTATATTCACTACCAAATATTAGGTTGAAAACATATGAAGCAAAACTATATTATTATGCAAAAGCCAGTATTATATTGGTATAGGGCTTTAGACATAATCTGACAAGAGTAAGGAATCTGCAATTTAATAAAAAAAAATGCTTATGCTATTACTCTGTTATGCCTATCCAGCAACAGCTTGTTTTTTTTTTTTTTTTTCATTTTCGACTTCAATGTGAAAATTTAGACACTACCTAATACCGTATTGCTCAGATTCCCCATGATGGTACATCATCTTCTATTACAGGTTGCAAGCCCTTAAGTCATGCTCACCGGGAAAAGAACGGGTCCTGAACATTCCTTGGAAATGAGGGCTTATGTGCAGCCACTTGTAATTTTGGGATTCTCAGTACAGCCCCAGACCCCTTCTTCTTCTTCTTCTTCTTCTTCTTGCAGCCCCCCCACCACCACCACCACCACGAAATCTTGCCGACCTCTGCTAACCTCCTTTCTTTAACAGCCTTTAAGGTTGGATACATGGCTGTGAATAGGTGGTATTTTGGCACACTGAGGACACTAAAGAACAGAGCAGGCTGGCTGAGGGCCAAATCCCCATGGTTACTCAAGAAGCGACTGCCTCTTTCCTGTGTGTATGTGTCTAAACCACCTCTACTCTGCATGCATGACAAACCAGAAGGCGACAAGATAAGTTTAGGTGGAAACCATTACAGAGTTTAGCACACCTCTTAACCACCTCAGTAAATAAGGAGCAGATTTATGTTTTAAGAGAGTCTGCACAGGGCAAAGAAAGGGCAGGAAATAATAAGAAAGGAGCAAAGACCCAGAAGCCATTAGTTTTTATAAGGATGAAAACCATATCACCCCTTGAACCTCACCGTTAGCCTTGTTTCTGACAGATTGGGTGTCCTGGTTGAATTAAATGGCTTAGTCGGCCCTATAAACTAAGATTTTATAGGGAGACACATGATTAAAAAAGGGTAAAAAAAAAAAAAAAGTAGCTTTAAAATACACTCAGACATATAAAATATTTTCTTAATCAGCATATTATAAGCACAATATAAACTGTAATACCTAGTCATCATCACCCAGTTGAACAACTGACTGACAGGAACAACTCATGTGCAATAACCTTGTAAATCTCCCTGCATTCAAACCCTGTCACCACTTGTTTATTTAATATCTAATTATTTACCTCTGCAACATTTCCATGTCTTTCATTGAACTACTGTAGAAAAAAATGTAAGAAAAACGTAACCCCCTATTTAAATCCATGACTAAAAGAATGATATAGTTTCCAGAGTTAATAGGTAATTTCACTTTTCAAAACTTTACAAATACTTCATAAACCTAATAAAAACAAAAACACTGGAATATTGTGTTATGTTCTGCATGATGATAATAACTTTAGAGTTGTCCCACAGACAAACATTGAATCTTTAACTTAATAAGCACCAATAGCTAATGAAGAAGTCTGTACACATTGTGCTCTATTTAAGCATATCAATGGAAAGTTAAGCGGAAGGAAAAATTGATAGGGAAAAATGTGTAGAAAGAAACAAGTAGAGGGTTAGCTTTAGTACATAGAATTGTCAAGTAGAGACCATTTTACGATGTTGGTGGAGATTTAAAAGGCATACTGCATTCAGAAACTCAAAAGGTGCAGCATGGGGTACAACTTTACAATTCTTTGTTTTAACCAACTCCTACATTACAGACAAAATACAAACACAAATGCACATCATACCTGGGTCGAGGAGAAAAAAAAAAAACTTCTTTGCTTAGCACTTCAGGGATTGGTATTAGCTCACAGTCTTATTGATGCAAAAACAGCCAGGACATTTAACAGCATCTTTATATAAATGCTGACCTCTTTTTACAGCAGTACCACAACCAGATTTGATAATCATAGTTTCACTTTACTCAGGAGACCAGCAAAACCACCTGATGTAATCTGATGTATCCATCCATCACACTCCTGCTACTAGTATATATCTCCAGCAGTCATTAGGAGAAAGGCTGCATAAATTCTGGACAGGTCCCTGTCTGTCTCAGGGTATCCAATCAGTTTGATTTATTTTTTATAAACATGCCACATACACTATGCCATACCTCACTGGTACAATAATTATTGCAAAGGGAGTCCCAACCAAAATTTGAGTGCATTAACTGTAGCCTAACTTAGAGTCAACTTTATTTATCCCTTGAGATTACTGCTTCAGTGAAATTCTGGTTCAAGCAGCTTGTATAGGGTACAAAGACTTAAAACAAAATGCCATTAAAGATAAAAAAAAATACAACCGAAAATATGGAGTTTGTATATTACAAAAAAGTATAAAAAGAAAAAAACTGTAACGTCATAGAATATGTTCCCATAGATATAAGAAAATCTGCAGAGAGCTAAGGGAACACTACAAAGTAGTTGACTTGGATTATTGCACTTGTTCTGCATAGATGTAATGAGCTTTAAAATAAGTAAAAAATTACACAGGCTACACAGTAGTTGGCATGTGTTTCTGCACATTGAGAAAGTAGAATATTGCACATGAGTGCAATAGGTTTCACATAATGTTATCTAACATATCTAAAATGTCCTATGTAATAGAACAGCTTATGTATGATTACATTTTTTTCTGAGAAACATAACATTCCTGCTGCCAGTCAACTGAAAATAATCATCTTTATTGACATTTAGATGCACCTGTTTAAGTATAACTATGTTATCAGGACGGTGCATCAGCCTAATTTTTTTTGTTAGGTGTTAATCAACTCTAAATACTAACAGGCTGAGGATGTAGTAGTGGTCTGGGATAACCTTAGGAAATGAGATTCAGTCTTAATTATCCCTGAGCAACAAGAGGTTCTGCTGCCAGAACTCAACCCACCCCCTTCAGTTGCGTAATCCTGCTGTGATGCTCAGATCAATGATATAAAGGCACTCTCACATTCAACAGAAAGTAACAGGTTGTTACTTCAGCATAATGAAGGAAATAGAGATGGTGCAAATGATTATTTTTTTCTCTTTGCAAGCAAGATCATGTTATCTCTTAGGAAATAAAAAAGAACCTATGAGCAAAACCACAGGAGACATTTAATCAAAACATCCTGGAACTGATCTTTTTTCATTTGTAATAAGTTTGACATGAGAAAATAAAGGAACATATCCAATTGTATTCCACCATCACTGACTATGACTCATCCAGGTACAGATCAAGCAGCCTGTTCCCTGCTGTTGCTTCCACTTCCTTACCTTTGACTTGGCTCTCGTACTCCGTGATGATTTCTTTATCCTTTTTGAACCTCGGCGTGGACATTTTCCCTCTTCTAGTGCACAAAGATCGTCGGAAAGTTCTTGTGGAAACTGTTTATCAACAACAAGGGATAACCTACAGCACGGGGCGCATCCTGCATGTGAGGAATGAAAAGCAGAGCTCCAGAATATGACCGAGGAGAGATTGAACTCCTGCAAATGAGGTTTTGGAGCATTAAACCAGCAACCGTATCTACTGCAACGTTCCTCTTCCCTGAGATACAGACAAGGGCCAATGCGCAACCCCTGCTCCCAACCAATGAAACTCCGAAGCACAGCAGCGCTGCAGGAAAAATACAGGGGGAAAAAGCAGAAAACAATCCAGCAAGTTTAAGGGGAGGGTTTCTGTTAGAGAAGTAGTTCCAACAATCCCGATCAGATGAATGTGTCGTGACTCAACTTTGGTGAGAAGCGCGCGAGCTTTTTGCGCAAATGGTTTCCAGTCTGGGACACACATGCATTACCCCACCCCAGCGGATTGCTTACTTTCCCGACGGTTTGTCCATCCCTCCCCCCTTCCACCTATACTTCCAGCTCCCAGGCAGCTCCGAAGGGAAGCAGAGGAGAGAGACCGAGCTGCAGCAGCTGAAGGCAGGCAGGCAGGAAAAGAGAGGAGGGGACTGGGTGGGATCTGCTCCTTCACTCAGACACCATTTGGACTGACCCTGCTCCCAAATGCCACCCATTTCTAGATCATTTCTTTGATTAAAATTAGATAAACAGATTTTTTATTTTTATTTCTACATTTCATTAATTTAAATTATATCTTCATTAATAATGTCATCTTACACGGTTTTATCATTTTTAAATTAAAGCACATGTTCTTTGATATAAGCTCATATTATTAAAGTCGTGAGATTGAGCATAAGCCTGCATAATTGACAGAGAAATAAACATTTAAAAGAAAATCGCGTGGTAACATTTTACGCACGTGCCACAAATGATATAGTTTATTTTTTTTTTCAAATCCTCGTTTGTCGTGATTTTTTTTCCCCAAAAGTTTTTCTCAACATAAACGTTGCTGCGCCTGCAAACGTTGAGCTAAGCCAGAGCGCCATCTACTGCCACCTTTCAGGCAGAACATTTTGTTAACCATTTCAATGTGGGTGTGGGTGATGGGGTGAAGAGTAACTTTACTTCCAACTTTTCTGAAGAGTGAATGGTTATGCACCTCCAAACATTATGACGCAGTTAGAATAATGAAAGAAGAAGGCATGGTGAGATGTATGAAATTGGTTTCTGCGGCAAAACCCCTGCATCCAAGCCCCACATTAACATTAAGAGCAATGCAAAGTCCTGATGGATCACGCTTCTGTTCCACATGAAGAAAGAAATAGTTTTGGTTAGACTTTTTCCATGGAGATGGAATTTACATAACAACACTACATTTTATTCCCCTGAACTAATGCTAATGAGACTGAGTAAGTATTGTATACATGCATTCGAATATAGATTGCGCAAAAAAAGAAAAAGAGGAACACTTAAATAACACACAAAATAAGTCAATCAATCTCTCATGCTGTTGAGCAAATTCTTGGAAATTAGCAAGACACACTAAATAAAGGAGTGGTTCTGCAGGTGGGAAACACACACCACGTCTCAGTAACTATGCTTTCTGGCTGATGTTTTGGTTGCTTTTGAATGTTGGTGGAAGACATGGGGAATGTGGAGTCAACACGTCATCTCCATGTCATGTATTTAATCTACCCTGCCAATTAACCAGGTGAGTCCAATCTGCACAGGTTAATTCACGGTGAAGATTGGACTCACCTGCTTCAGTGGCTGGGTAGAACAAATACATGACATGGAGATGACTTGTTGACTCCACATTGCCCATGTCTGGTTGGTGGTGCTTTCATATTCGTGGTGGAATGAGAAACCCACACAAGTGGCTCAGGTAGCTCATCCAGGATGGCACATTAATGCAAGCTTCGGCAAGAAGGTTTGCTGGTACTGTGAACGTAGAGTCAAGAGGCTGGAGGCACTACCAGGTGACAAGCCAGTACACCAAGAGATGTGGAGGAGGCAGTAGAAGGGCGACAACCAAGCAGCAGGACCCCTACCTCCTACTTTGTGAAAGGAACCCAGCAAAATGACCTCCAGCAGGCCACAAATGTGCATGTGTCTGCACAAACGGTTAGAAACTGACTCCATGAGGAGGGTATGAGGGCCTGACATCCACAGATGGGGGTTTAGCTCACAGTCCAACATTGGCATTTGTCAGAGAAGGATTGGCAAATTTGCTACTGGGGTCCTGTGGTCTTCACAGGCGAAAGCAGGCTGACAATGAACACATTTGACAGAATCCGCAGACATCAGGGAGAGCGATCTGGTGCCTGAAATCATATGCTGTTGTGGTTTGCCCTGGGTTCCCCTAATGCAGGACAGTGCTACACTTCAGATGGCTTGAGTGTCTCAGCAGTTTTTGCAAGATGGAGGCACTGAAGCTATGGACTGGAACCAACTGTTCCCCAGATCTGAATACGATTGAGCATATCTGGGACATCATGTCTTGATCCATCGACCAATGTCCGAGAGGAGATCCCTCAGGAGACATCCACTACCTCTTCAGGAGCATGCCCAGGCATTGTAGGGAGGTCATACAGGCACTTGGAGGCCACACACAATAGTGAGCCTTATTTTGACCTGCCTTACATCAAAGTTGGATCAGCCTGTAGTTTTTTTTTTCCCCACTTTAATTTTGTATGTCACTCCATATCCAGGCCTTCATTGCAGTGGTGGAGCCAGAGGGTTAGTTGGAGTGGCTATTGCCACCCCAGAAGAAATCCTTGCCACTCCTGTTGCAACCCCGCTGAAAACATTAACACTGTTTGAATTTTACAAACATTTGCGGGGGAAAAAAAAGTCAAATTTACCGGGGGACTTAAAGCATCCTAAAGCAGTAAGCTTCTGCTACACTTTTAATTAGAAGACCTTAAGCATGAGCTTTATCAAACGAGAAAGCTTCTTTTTAAGAAGCGCCAAAAGTGGAGGGAGACCAGCTTCTCTATTTGAGTTTATTGTGTTTTTGGAACCTTACATAAAAACCCACCTTAGGAAAAGAATGGCAGATAATAGATTAAGTCACCTGGGCGTACTTATTGACAAGTCAAGGAGGACATATTCCCTAAACATGAAACACTTTGTAAAACATTTTGCTTTATCTCAACTAAAACGCTGAATGTTGTTGTTCTGATTGCTTTTTGTGAACGTGGTGTCATATCACTGAGCAGTGGTCAACTATAGTCAGTTTAAAAAGGGCTGTATGATTATTTTGTTTTGTTGTACTATTATTCTTTTTGTGGTACACATTTAAATGTGCACAACTGCTTGTCCTGCCTGGTTTGGACAGGTCCATTGAGTACATGTTTATTTCTATTTTTGCTGTATATTTAATCTATAATACATTGTACAGTACATAATTGTATACATTTTGGAAAATAAACAACTTTAATTCAATCAATATACATTTTGCAGAAGATAATTGTTTTGTAGTCTAAATGAACACTTTAAATATTACCTTGCCAGCCCTGTTTTAAAAGCCTTGCTCCGCCACAGCTCCATTGATTAATAAATTTGATTGCAATTGACTTTTTTTGTGATTTTGCTGTCAGCAGATTTAACTTTGTAAAGTTTATTCTCATATTCAAAAAGAATATGTCATACATTCAGATATAGGTTATTTGAATTTTCCCTTTATTTTATTTTATCTTTTTTTGAGCAGTGTACTAATGTAGAACCATTTTAAGTAAAGCCCATAACTAAATCAATCAAAATTCCTTTAGATAAGACTCCACTTTATTTGACCGCACTATTTTTAAAAAGCTCATGCACAACAGAACTCAAAATAAATAGAATAGAAATGTAAACAAATGAAAACGTCACTTTCAATCATAAAAGTAGATATCACACATCAACATTCCTTTATAGGTTCTCATAATAAAAAAGGGACTGTATTTAAAGTGTTTTTTACATTTAAAACTTAAAAGCACGTTTTTCAACACTATTTCTTTTGAAAAAATAAAACAATTTCCAGTGCATAAAAACCACAAAACTTAAATTCAAACAAAACATATGGACAATGAAATGCAAAGGCAGCTTACAATTAGTGATTTCTAAATGCCTGCACATCCCACAGCTGTAAACATTTCAATAAAACTATACAAATTACATAGTAATAATGGCAACCTTTATAATTTGACCACAAAACGTTTTTTTAGACCAACCTCAGAGTACATCACTGCACATAACCCCGTTCACTATGTCAGAAGTACATCACGTTTTGCCACAAACAGAATAAATGAAATTGAAAGCAATTAATGTTAACCATGTTGAGATTTAAAAGCACCAGTCAGACGGTTTTGAAAAAATTCTCTTCTATGACCTCAGTGAACCTCTCCTTCATCTGCTGACGAAAGCCAGAGTACCAGTCGAGCAGCCTCCTCCTCCGGTCCACCCTTTGCTCATGGCTCATTCCCCTCTCTCTCTCCAAGATGGCCGGCAGTTCCCTCCAGTCGCTGATGAAGATGAAGGGCGCCCCTGCAGCTTTCAGGAGCCGTAGTGGGGAGCCAGAACCTGCTGCACAGTTCCCAGGAGTGAGGACATCTTCCACGACGGGCACCGAGCCGTACGAGCATGCCTCATAGATGCGGTAGCACTCTGTGTTGATTCCCACCGGGCTTAGGGTGAGCTCGCTCTGGGCCAGAGCCGTCTGATAGCGTCTCAGACTGTCAGCCGTTTCCTGGGGAAGCCATCTAGTGCAAGAATGAAGTTTATCTTAATCAGACCTGGAGATTTTATTACAAAAATACAAATGCACCACCTGATCAACTGCTTTGAAAAGTCAGACAAATCTGATCTTGCAAATGAAAACATACATGACGATCCTGTTATTTTAAATGTGTTGATTTAAAAGTCTTTAAATCATAAATTAACTGCAGACACAGATGGCTAGAACTTGTTTTTGTCACGGAAATGTAGCACCTGAAGAAATGGACATTATAACTGGATATAACTTCAATATGCAACCATAGCCCAACACATACATAAATAAACCACTGAATAAATATTATTATATTATAATTAAATAAAATGTAACTGAAATTTGTATTCATCACATGGTATTATGTTTTTCATCAGGTCTTGTAAGTATTTCACACCTCATTCCAAAGGTTTCTAATATTCTTGGTTGTTGGATTCAACAAACAAAATCATTTAAATTTAAAAATTTTTAAACAATAGTATTCCGATTGGAATTTATTCAAGCATTTAGGCTAATGTTTAATCTTGTGAAATGATATGTCATTTCTAAATGTTGAGATAGGAAAAGATCAATTTGGAGAAGCAAAGACTAAAGTCCAGACACTAATATTGGAGTTTTAACTTATTAAAGGAGAAGTTCGGTTTTTTACACT